TAAATTTTTTAAACTTTAAATTTTCAAGATTTCATAATAACTCAAATAATAAATATATATTTAATATTTACACTTAACTGATTTCTATTTTTGGTATGAAAAAAGCCCATAGATAAAAATAATCTCTCAACTGATGCATTATTAACAAGTATATCATGAAGTCTTATAGCTACAGAGGAAAGCTCTGGTCAAATTTCGCTACAAGATTTCCAATATTTTAATAGATCTCCTTTAAATTGATTCCAATTATTCATTGTAAAAGGAAATATCTCATCACAATAGTCTTGTAACTCAGCCATAATTTTTTTAGGTGGATTTCCAAACCAAGCACAATAGTAATATGAAATCCATATTCCCATTTCAGCAAATGTAATACCATTAATTGGTAAATTAAATTGTGAAAGACGAATATTAGGATGAAGTAAATAACTAAGAATCAAAAGGGGTTGCTCCCATTCTCTCCAACATTGCTCTAAATGTTCTGTCATTTTTGCACCAAAAGTTATATCAGAATGCTCATCCATTAGCTTATAAAGATAGCTAAAAGATTGTAATACTTCATAAAGACAAGCTGTATTAGTTTGAAGCTGATTTAAGCAAAGACATATAGGTGCAAGTAAAGTATGTAATTCAGATATTATGTTCCACCAATTATTATCACTAATTGTTTCGCAAATATAGTTTGGCAAAGCTAAACTATTATCTTCAGGTGATGTATATTTTGCAACTAAAGACTATAAGATAAAAATATATTAATAAATTAGATTATAATTTTATTTAATATTAGATATATATAATCTCACAATTAAAGATTCTTTTGAACGCAAAAGACAACTAAATGCTTCTTAAAAGCTATTCCATCTAGTATCACCTGGACGAATTAATGCAATATATCGCTTATGTATCATCTTTTGCTCATCTCTCAGTTTACCAATAAAATAAGAGTGATTAGCATTGTTGAAATAATTTGTTAATTTGATAACTTTTTTAATAGTACTGTTAAAATGAACATTTTCTTTAAAAATCTCTCTAACAACTAAGTTAAGTTGGTGTGCAAAACAAGGCAAAAAAACAATTTCACGATAAGATTTACGCATACAGCATCTAAAATAATTTAATAAAATTAAAATAATTATACAAATAAGAATATTTAAAATTTTTTAACTAAAATAGATTACTAAATGCTTTGTTTTAAAATCCTCAATAAATAATAAATAATGAGTAATAAATAAATAATGTATAAATACTGTGCTGCTGCATATGTGGATGCTGAATCAGAAATTATAGCGTCAACTTTAATTTGTTGAGTTTTTAAATCCTCAAGAAATACTTCAATTTTAGAAATTATATTGGTTGTTCGATCTAGTTCAGCACTAATATTTTGAACACTCCAAATTAAAACTTCACCAGAAGATGTAATAAGTACAGTTCCAAGAATATTTTGTTTTAAAATATTTTTCCACCCATCGAATGCTAATGACACTCCAACAATATCATGAGTTGCCTTTGTTATTAATTCAGAATGAAGTTTCTTTTAATATATGGCCTCCAAGGGTATGATGGCTTGGTATTACAAGATTTGGATTTTTAAATTTAAGCATTGCGATTGATGATTCTTTTTCAACCCAATTAAATGACCATCCATTTTCAATTGTCGCATTTAAAACCAATTTCTCAAAATGAGATATATCAACTAAACTATATTCTTGTGCAAGATATGGTTGCATTGGTTGTTGAACTATGTCTATTGATTAAAAAAATTAATTAGAATAATTTATTAAATTATAAATTAATGTTATTAATTATATTACTTTGCGAATTAATTTTTTTAGATTTAGATGAACTACTTGATGTTTTAGATTTTGATTTAGACGATTCAGTTATTCACATCAATTTTTCATATTCATCTTTACTGACAGCTGCTTTAAAATTTAAACAGTTTTGAAAATGTAGTCGAAGTCTGTCTTTTTTATTAACACATTGTGTATTTTCTATTGCATATGTTTCACCATGTTTTTGTTCACACCATTTACAAATTGCATAAACAGTTTTTGAGTTTGGAGCATGAATAATTTTAATATGAGAAGTAAAGAGATGTGGAGGCTTCTCGCCATAATGAGACCGCTTCATAGTATTGAATTATTCTAAACATTAACATGAATGTTTGTATATTAATTATATAAATTCTATAGATCATTATTATACAATTTAGTATAAATTATATACATACCTTTTTGAGTAATTCATTTAACAAATTTTCTCACAAGCTAATATTATATGTACAAGTCATAATCATATTAAGTAATTATTAACCTGTATTTAAAACTAGATTTGGTACATATAAAAATCTAGTTATTGCAACTCTGAATCCTGAAGGTATCAATCTAATGCTACAAAATAAAATAATGATAATGATAAGAATTTAGATAAGTGTAATTTAATATATACTTGTTTAGAAAATATGATATAATTGTTATTAACGCCAACATAAAACATTGAGAAGCTTGTCAATGAAGTGACGAAGTGATTATTATTGCGAGATCAGATGACTTTACAGTAGATCATATACAAGTGTATGTGGTTTTTATTTTTGTATATATATATCTTGTTTGGATTCAGAAATTTTAGGAGTCATACTGGTTAACTGTTACAGTCATGAGAGAGACTTTAGATCTTCGTAGCCAATTTAGCAAAGGACCATAATCATTAGCAAGAAAAGAACTAACTAATTTATTAACACAAAAGGCACCAGAAAGTATGAACAAATATTCCAACGTTGTGTCCCAGACACTCTTTCAATACTATTAACCCTTATTTCCTTAGCTACTTAGCAAGTTCCAAACTTCTAAGAGCACAATACAAACACAACTGAAAGACAAAAATCTACTAAAACAAAGTACCACTCAAAAACTAACTCTACCTACAAATGTTCTATATGTCTATATTTATACATAGAATTAAACTACAAATTGACTATTTACTATTTACAAGTATGTAGTATAACAATATAAAAGTCTAATTAAAATATACTCTTTACTATAAACTTCACTTAGACTATTATAGAGTTACACTACATATTACCCATATTCCACAAACCAAAGTTTAATTCTGAAACTTGGTTGCGTCACATTAACATATGAATATTCGAATTTGGTTATTCAAGAATTGAGTTTAAGTGATAATTATGGTTTGTAATCTAAGGGAATGATAAAGGAGTTTTTACATATGAATTGCATCGTAGGGCAGGAAGGGTTGATAATCAGTTTGGGGGATGATGTATTTAATTGTTAATTGTTTTGGTAGATGTTGATATCTTTCTGTTCGCTATTGCTCGCCCAATAGTTAGGGCTGGCTATGTACCCTCCCAACTCATCCGTTTCAAGATATCAGAATTCTTAAGCCCACGGTTGTAGATACAGTGATAGGACTTACTAACGGACTCCACAGCTGCAAGCAGTGCAAGGACCCCTTTTTATCAGGTTTTAGGCTCCACAGCTGTTTATGCAGTGCAAGGACCTTATGTTGTTAAGTGATTGGGCTCCGCGACTGCGTTTGCAGTGCAAGGACCTTGTTTACGCTTAAATTTCTTTTAAGGATTTATTTGTTGCAACTAGCTATATAGTTTAATATAGCTTAAGTCTGTTATAGCAAACCTATTCCTATATGTTATTTCATCATTTTATATGTTAATAAAGTTTCTGATCGAGCAATAATAAATAATAAAACCACATGTGAAAATTTGCATCTAACTAGTATAATTGAAGAATTCTCAAATTCTTCTCAATATGATTAACTTGTAATAATTGTGTTTACGCTCAAGCATTACAACAAACAAAAATTGATACTTGAATTCTTTATTAACCAGAATATAGTAATTATTAAAGTTCATTTTCTGGATTTTCATTTGTAGTAAATATTATGAGATTAAACATAAGCACTTACTTCTGTATGTCTAACTTAGAAAGACCATTAATATTGTATTCTGTCTTGCGTGCTGAATAATAGTCATTTAGGTCATGTACGTATGTATATAAAATTTTCTTTATTTTGTATATTATTTAAAGTGAAAATACTGATTTTTTTTGTCTTTTTATATTACATTCAATTACATCATCATTTATGCAATTAACTTTTTTATACTTCTCTTATACTGATTATGCTATACCAATATATCAAACATTTCTGGAATTATCATGTAAGCTACCTGCTTCACATTTTTATTTATTATTGCAGTCCTTTATACTAACAATCTGATTCTTTATTTTGTATTCATATATAGTTTAACAATCCCGAATCCAATACAAGGTCTGTTATGAAACTACATGATGATAAAGTTTTTTAGCATTAATAATTCATCAGTATTGGTTGCAATTTTAATAATCCGTAATATTGATAATGTTGAGCCAATTAATAAAATTTTTTAAAAAAATATTTGGTCTTCTATTTCTTGTTAATTGAAAATCTATTAAACCCGTTTTTTTATTGCTACACTTCGTGGTCTAAACCACTCACTTCCTTGTTGCATTTTAGTGATGCTTTGTAATATACCAAATAATAAGCAAGATTGTACATGATAAATATAATACGCATTATAAAAATATTATAAGCAACTAAATTTTTTACAAAAAAGAGAGATTAGACTGCAAATACAGTAATTAAAATTGCTTTTTGGATAAAGAGTTTAAGAACACTATCTATTTATTTCTAAATTATTAAATGATTGGACCAATAGACCAATAGACATAATATCTAACTAAATTTCTATCAAATAGACATTGTCTATTCTCAATCAAATTGAATAGACAGTAGACAATTAGACATTAGACAATTAGACCATTAGATGATTAGACAATGATATTTTTAATTAGACTATGTCTATTCACAACCCTGATCTCAGCAACTACTTATCAAATTTGATGAATTTTTTTATTTAAATTTTATAGATTTGTAGAATTCAAATAAAAAAAATTTAATTGAATTTGATCAAGTAGTTGCTTAGATACCTTTGATCAATTTTTTTTAAATTATAAACATCTATTACAAAAAACTGTATTAAATTTTTATTACAACTTTGATAGAAGATATCTCGACAATAACTTGATCAAATTTGATAACAATTTTTTTAATTAAATTCTATAGATCTGTAGAATTTAAATAAAAAAAATTTTATCAAATTTGATCAAATAATTGCTAAGATACCTTCGATCTTAGTTGTGATGAAAATTTTAAAATATTTATCATATAACACTTGTATCAAATTTTTAATAAAATTTTGATTGAAGTATCATATGATAAATATTTTAAAAGGCTCATTCAGACAACTATCTTAATGAGCAAGCAGACTCTCTCGCTAAACAACATTCACTGTCACCACTCCTCTCATTTAACTATACAAATCTTTACAACCCTTATCATATTCTCCAATGGGAACACCATTATGTAGAACTTCCTACAAAACACTTTATTAAACAAATTTGTAAAGCTCACATCCTAGCTATATGGGCATCACAAAAACGAAACAGCAAATGGTCAT